AATATTCTAATGTTTATAAATGTATAGTATATATATATATAGTTAAATGCGTGTATTAAGGTAGCCCTGTAACGCTGGCAAACCTCTCAACCAAGATGGATGTTTTACATTAAAATGTCAATTTATTTCTAGAAACCTCTCCCTTCCAGAGTTAAATGTATTGGTTTCCACACTTTAAAGTAGGAGAATATATATATGTACTATAATGTACGTTCGGTGTATAATATGCTACGTACTCAACCAATTAGGGCCGAAATGCATCGACAGCATATAAGCTTTTGACTTTCCGATCAATAGAATGCATTACTAAGGCTTTTAACTGAGTTTATTAACGTAATGGGGTTTACTGAAAACCGTAATCTTTATTTTTTCATTTCAGTGAACTGATGTCATGTGCAATTAAGAAATAGAAAGAAGGAGTATACATAACCATGTAACACACACTCTCTCTCTTACTCTGTCTATCTATTTAAGACACCTAGAACTACCGCCTTTATATGAATACAATAATTATAGTACAGTAACATAGACAATAAACTGAACTCCAAAACACTCAGATACAAACGGTCCTTTTTTCACTTTACACAAGCTGCACTACACATGCTATATCAGTTATATATTCTTCTCAGACGCTTTTTTGAGCCATGTTCGAGAAACGTTAACAACATTATTAAGTCGGATAACAGCGTACAACGAGGACCATATCTCATTTCTCTCATCGTTTGGGTTGTAAAGGTAAACATAATTATATACGTTCTACCTTCAAACACAAATAATGAAAAAAGGAAACGCGAACAGAATACAACACAAAGCATATATCAAGTCGGATTAAGATAATTGCCTGAATAATACAATTGATATTATTAAAATACCACTATATTCGTCTATAAACAAAATAATATACACACGTTATGAATTCTTAATTGCCTCGTATCGCACGAAAAATAAGATAATGATGGCATATAAATGAAATATTGCAAAAATTAAGAAGCCATCATCCCTACACCAATGTAGTAACGATATGCATATAATACAATGTAATATATTAAGCCTACGATTTTAAAAGTGCACTCAAGCAGCTAAGAGTGATTGTACTGAGAAGAAAATGATCTATACTCTACATAGATTGGCTGTTTGGATGTTTAAACTAGCCAATTAGGTGTAACAAAAGAGAGAGAGAGAGAGAATAACGTGAATAACTAAATCCACTTTTTTAAATCATAAAACATGTCATCATTGGTACTATACATCCTAACTATGATTAGCAGAACATTTATAACATCAAATACAAATAAAACATGCCACCATTGGTACCATACATCCTAACTATGATTAGCATGACATTTATAATAACATCAAATTACAAATAAAACATGCCACCATTGGTACCATACATCCTAACTATGATTAGCAGAACATTTATAACAACATCAAAACACAAATAAAACATGCCACCATTGGTACCATACATCCTAACTATGATTAGCAGAACATTTATAACAACATCAAAATACAAATAAAACATGCCAGTATTGGTACCATACATCCTAACTATGATTAGCAGAACATTTATAACAACATCAAAATACAAATAAAACATGCCACCATTGGTACCATACAGCCTGACTATGATTAGCAGAACATTTATAACAACATCAAAATACAAATAAAACATGCCAACATTGGTACCATACAGCCTGACTATGATTAGCAAGACATTTATAGCAACATCAAAATACAAATACTTGCTCATTTAAACCTCGGAACAGTTAGGCAGTGTTTGAAATCCCATATATTTGTGCATATTTCCAAAAAAAAGGGTGTAGTAGAGCTAACAGTTTAGGAGATAATACGCCAGGATAATACTAGATAATACTCACCTCCTTCAAGCATTGAACGAAGAACCCACTTTTTGAACAATAAATTTTTTGAGACGGTTTAACTGGGTAATGAAAAAACGTCGTACATTTCTAATAAAGTTTTTCATTACCCAGTCAAGCCGTCTCAAAACTTTTACTGTGATATGTTTTTTTTGTTTGTAGCACAAAGCTACACAATGGGCTATCTGTGCTCTACCCACCACGGGTATCAAAACCCGGTTTCTAGCGTTATATGTCCATAGACATCCGCTGTGCCACCGGGGATCGCGTTGTTCGGTCTTTTGTACATGTTTTCCAATGTTCTTCGACCATGCATGGAAGATGATGATTTCCAAAGGCCTGTTTGAGTAACTCGAAAACACAGATAGCTTTAACCTGTACCCACCATGCATTCTTTGAAAAAAAAAAAACGTTTGTGATATGCTCTGTCCCATATTGTACCACCAAGACGATGATAGGAAGATGCCTAGAATTTTGCAGATACTTAACCAAATATGTACTTCATCGAATAGGACGACATAATTATATTTACAAGAATTATTATTCTTTCTGGTCATGTGCTTTGGTAGTAGCTTGTGAAGCCACTTCTTGTGTTGCTTTTGTCGACCTAAATCCATATTAATAAACTTTATTCACAGTTTCAAGGGAGGCTTCTATCTGCAGTGGATCGTAGTGTCCTTGGGTTACTTCCAAGGTGACAAGTTGTCTAAAATTCTTCAAGTGGCATGTTTTTATATCACACATTCTCTTGCTTTACTGGTACGACTGCTCACACCACATACACATATTCCTTCCTTTTAGCTGTTTTCGATGCTTTTATAATGTAACCCTCAGAGAAGGTGCCAATGTTATGTGTTAATTGCACATGCAAATCACACACTTGAAAATAGAATTGTAAGAATAGGGTCAGAGATGGCAAAGAGATTGATTATGCAGATTTTTACTATAGATCGTGAACAGCATTCTGTATCCAGGGTTATTGCTACTTAATACAGACTTATTGTAAGATAAGTTACAACACTATTATTTACATACTTAGAATAGATTAGCTATTGACAAATATAACGCTGTAGAAAATTTTATCAGTTTAATAGTCTAGCTAATTTGAAATTAAGAACTTGTAAAGCCATTCATTGTGTTTCTCAGCCCCCCCAGTGGCACAGCGGTATGTCTGAGGACTTACAACGCTAGAATCCAGGTTTCGATACCCGTGGTGGGCAGAGCACAGATAGCCCATTGTTTAGCTTTGTGCTTGATTACAAACAAACAAACAATTCTTGTGTTTCTTTGGTTTTAAATGTCACGCTGGTTAATAAACTCAACTTCCACTGCGGTTTCCTTTCTTTCAATATGTGCTGTTCTAATAATATAGTATGATATATATATAATACACACTTTATTCAATAATCATAAATGATTTTGATAACATAATTCATAGTGAATTAAGCTACGTTTGAATAAGAACTATTTACATATATTTTATTTTAACATTTTCCTCTGTCTTAGTTTTCGTTAACGTAACATTACGTTCAGCGTCCCTATATATTAATTAGTCAGTGGCACGATATGATGTTATTGTCAAGTTCAACATAGTCGCTTTACCAACCTAATCTATGCTTAATTGTAACTTAAAATGTAACAGTAAACTGTAAAAGTGTAACAATACGAATGTTACTAAAAACTAGACAAAACAACTGATTTACCAATCAATTACGTTTCAGGTTTCTGGCAACAACGAACTAGTTACAGCACTGAACAAGTATTAACTGGATCACAATACACACCAAATGCGGAATTTTAAATAACTAATCTATTTCCACAGAAGAACCTCCCCCCCCCCCGCCCCCAGGTGGATCAGCGGTAAGTCTGAGGGCTTTCAATGCTGAAACTCTGGCTTCGATACGCAGGGTAGGCAGAGGACAGATACCCTACTGTGCTTAACAATAAAAAACAAACAAGTCACAGAAGAAACTTCTTGGGAATTAAAAAATCAAATAATCCTAACCATCCGAAATAACTACTAGGGTTAATGGAATTATCAGATTGTGCCTTATCTTTGAGTCTTTGAGTTTTCTAAACATCATGATTCGTGATCAAACACTTCAATTCTGTTTAGCGTGAAACAAAATACTTTAAAACAATCTCCCACTATGGACTCAGCCACTCTCTTATCAATCGTTAACTGAAGTTTGCATAATAGGATTTTCTTTGAGTCTTCAATAATTATTTGACAAATTCTTCACTTCTAAAACACTAATCATTTAAGACATATTCTGTTTAAAACAGTCTCTTCTGGCTAAGTAGTTTTCTAGACCACATAGCGAGTGTGGTTAATACTAATATATCTAAGTAGTATATAAATAACTCTAGACGAGTCCTAAAACAGTTACACACATTTCACACACACACTGATACATAAAGGAGACTTTCTACACGTAAAATCTTGTAGATTGCACATTCTACTCTTACAAGAGAGTTTGGGCTTAAAATAATCAGTACAGCAGTGTTCATTTTCCTACAGAAACATAGAAAACAATTTTTTTCCCATACTGGTACTTGAAGTATATCTGATAACTAGGTATTTTCTTGATAAAAACCCTTAAATTTACATAAATTTTTCTTTTCTTTTTCTTAAAATTAAAACAGCTAATGTTACAAATATCACACGACAAACAAAATATTCCTGGATATTGGTCTCACTGGTGACAGTCACACACCATGTTCTTGATCTATAAATTAAAAACTAACGACTCCATTGGTTATTATAACCATTATAAGCCGCACTTTGTTATCAGTAATGATATATTTATCTCTCATTTTAACCCTAATTATCACTTCATAAATGTCTTTCTTCTAAAGGTTGCTGAACTACATCTGTAATACAAATGTTTTATACTTTTATTAAAATACTGTGTCGAATATAAGTTTCAATCGTAACTGATTTTGGTAACACAACTTATAGTGGCTTAAGTGTTTTTGTTGACCAAGTATGAATAAAAAAACATCATATATTATTTTAACATTTTCTCCTATCGAAATAATAAGTGTTATCAGTTAATCAATATTCGATTTGCGAGAAATATTTTATGCTTTCATATTGTAAATTTGGATTTGACTTACCTGATATAATCATTTTTACAGAGTATCATTCCGGCTTTGGTGAAACAAGAGCTACCAATGTCTGCTAGTGTCGCTTGGCAACAAGAACATTTCAAACAGCCGGTATGCCAGTATCTGTCCAGAGCGTGCAAAAGGAAACGGTCCAAAATTTTACCACCACACCCACCACAACTGCGTCCTCCAGTGGTCCCTGATGTCGGTAGTGGGTGACGATGGTGGGGACCTCCATGATGAGGAGGAAGAGGCTGTGATTGCATGCGAGTCATTGCTGATCCACCTGCACCGTGGGGATTATGTGGATTCATCATACTCATCATTGAAGCTCCAGGATCCCCATTTTGTCCCCCAGGATTCATAGTTAGATTTCTCAAGCACTTGTTTAGCTTCTAAACTACTAGGAACGGAATCGCAATTTCGCAGTTTTATAACTCTCCGTACGATTTGAAATAATGAGGTTTTTATAAATAAAAGTGTAATTCAGAAAGCAAACTGTAAATCTAAGGATTCATGGTTCGCAACCCCTTTCATCATAAACACGATTCGGATTTTAAGACCATGATTATACTAATGACGAGAAAATCTTAATATACGGTCAGACATGAGTAGCCAGAGCGTTGGCACTGGATGCTATTGACTAGCTGTTGTCATTCCCGTGTATCAGTTCAAAATTAGGTCCGAATGTGCGCAAATAACCTTTGCGCAGAAACTCTAAAAACAAGTCAAAGGTAGAAATATTTCTATTTGCAGGTCATCAACAGAAAAAATAAGTACCTAAAATATGATATCAGCTGAAATACAGTTACAGAATAACACAGAATAATCCAATGTTGTAAAAAACACAGATATCTTGTTGTATTGTAAACGAAAGAGTGTCTGAATATTTTAGTCAAATTCATTCTATTCTTTAAAGTTAATTTTATGAATGTTTAGATATATATTTTTAGATCTAAGTAGACGATGTGTATAAACTAACAAACTAAAGTCTTATTGTCTTTTATACAAATGTTTTAATAGATTTACTAATTTTCAGTTATCAAAAATCATTGTTATGTTAAAGCACTTTTATTGTGAATCGGATTAGGCTCTCTAGTATTGTTTTCTCCTCTTTTAGGCAAAAGGACTACCTAAGAATGAAATATTGCAGTGCTGAAGCCACGTATTATACACGACAGTTATGAATCATATAATAAATCTGTATGTTATGAAATACCAACATTTCGTCGTATTTAAGTGCTTGGAAAACTGAGTTCATTTAGGAAACATTTCTGGGCCGGTTGTGGTCTAGTGGTTCGTGCCGGTTTCTTAATTCCTCAAAACTTGTACACTCTATACACATAAAGCATTTAAGAAACAATTCAATAAACTTTATAACCATGTATATCTATACACTCTTACAATTTAACTAATTTCTGTTATAAATAAATTCGTTTTTCGAATGCAATCTGCCAGTTTCCACAAGTCAAACAATTCTGGGCCATGATTTTGGTGCTGGCCAGTAAGTGCATAAGAGGTATTTGCTTTAAATAAACGAATGCTTTCAATATATATACAAACGATAGGGTGTATTATTGGACATTTTTCTTTGGAGATATTGATTAATTAACATCTTAATTTATATTCGAACTGACTTGACCACCTTTATTTAACAAACCCTGTCAAATTCTACAGAGGGTCAAGTACGTTGTAATAAAACGAATTTAAATATGCCAATCGGCAAGTCACGTGACAAACATAGCCGATATAAAGTTACGGTGGAACAGCATACATCAGAATTACATTTTGAGATTGTCTGGCATTAGGTAGGTAGTGTGATGCCACAGAATGTTTATCGCTTTTGGGAAGGTTAAGTCACAGCTTTTTCCGCCACAAGATATTACGTTCAGATCAGGAATTTCGAATTTCCAAGACGTGGATATTCCATGCATTTAATGGCATTGGACAACAGAGGAATATGATATCTAAATACAGGAAAATACACGAATACAAAGATCATTTGCAAAAGTCAACCACGACCCCACAGGCAACAGTGAAAAGCATAATCAAGAAGGATCTCCGCCCGGAAATGATGCTAATCAAGAAGGATCTCCGTCCGGAAATGATGCTAACAAGGTATGGATTCACTAAGATAAGGCTTTTTGTCATACAGGTCAAGTTGCCGGACGCATCATCTACGGATTTCTGTGCGATCAGACTGTTGTAACAAGCACTCGGAAACCTTTCCGTCGGACGCTAGATGGCTTATAGAAAGCATTCTGGAGGAGGGACTACTTTGGATATGACCATCTTAGAAGGGGACCTTTTGAAATGGATTCTATGCTGAAGAGCTATTGCCAAGATGCATGGCCGTCAGATACACCATGATCAGACGTGGCGACAAGAACGTGGAAAAACTCCCAACACGTTTTGATTTATGTTCAACCTCAGTATTATAGGTAATGTTTTGGGAAATAAACCCTTCTGCCACTAGTACCTCCACGATAGTTACAAAAAATAATATAGCGTCCGTTTGATTAGTTGATATGGTTTTATACAATATTATCCATGAAGAATATAAGAATGTTTACAATAACAAGATAGAATATTCAATAGCTGCGGCACTTGAAATTATTTTAGGTAGGATTAGAGTAAATTAATCTATGATACCTTGGGCGTGGTCAAATACATCAATCTAAAGGGGAATGACCTCCTGAATCCAAAACTGTAATTACATCTCAAATCGGTCAAGAGATGATGGAGCTATGAGCTAAAAGTTTCTACCTGAAAAAAAACTCGGAGCCATTCTATGAGTCGCTATGCCGCGGCTAAAAACAAAAATACCTTCATACAATTGGTTATGTATGCTATTGGGAATTTAAAAAATATTTGCTAAGAAATTTGTGGGACTTCCTATTACCTCGGGTTAGAATACCTAATGCAAGAGCTCTGAACCTATAAGTAGTTGTTCTATGATTTATATCACTGCCTAAAATCCCCTCCCTCTCCAAGATGAGCTAAAGGCAGCGTCTGCTGTTCTTCCAGTTTGATTCTTTATATTTTCTAATATTTTTCTTACTGTATCATTAAATAAAATATCGCTTTTAATTCCAGAGATAAAATTAACAAGCCAAAATTAAACAAAGGATTGACAGCCTCAATCAACTATAGAAGTTCAATAAACATTTTCTAGTAACCTTTGGTGAAAGAAACCAAAGCTTCCAAAATTAAATCTAAGCAACTAAAGGTTGTTCTATATCATTTATAATTTCGACTATCTATAATTTTAATTCATATAAGATCACAGAAATACCTACAGTTACTAATACGAAACTAAAGGCCACTTTAGAAAGTTAAAAAATATATAATTATTATTTCTTTGAAAACTTCATTTAACATATGTTTCTCTATGAAGTATTATCAGCATAATTTATTTCTTGGTTGGAGTTGTTTCCACTGATCCAAGTTAATACAAGGCGGCAAAATATTAGTTTACAATAGCATATGTTAAGGAATAAAAACCTGGAAATTACCAAATTGTTGGATTGCATCTATCGCTGATAGTAAAACCAGTTATCTTGGTATTAAAACAAACTAAGCTGCAGGTCACACTCAGTAATATTGATATTAAAACAAACTAAGCTGCAGGCCCCATTCAGTAATATTGATATTAAAACACACTAAGCTGCAGGTCACACTCGGTAATATTGATATTAAAACACACTAAGCTGCAGACCACACTCAGTAATATTGATATTAAAACAAACTGAGCTGCAGGCCACACTCAATAATATTGATATTAAAACAAACTAAGATGCAGGTCACACTCAGTAACATTTATATTAAAACAAACTAAGCTGAAGGCCACCCTCAATAATATTGATATTAAAACAAACTGAGCTGCAGTTACACTAACCAATGAATTGTTGAGTTATTTTAGTTGCTGTCAATTTGAAGCCCATATAATACTTTTAAACATTGTGTACTTTGATGTTTTGAAGTCGGAATTATTTGTTGGTTTTCCAGATAATCCAGGTCTTGATAGAACACAAATAGTCCATTGTGTAGTTTTCCTCCAAAACATCAACAATGACGATGTTTCATCGAAAATTAGGATAACATGCTTATCGCGTTTCGAATATCTGTGTAATTATAAATAAGCACATCAGATAATATAATGCTTTAATAACTATTTGACAATGACAGTGTGTATCAATGAGCTATTGTAGTGTGCAACGACCGTTTAAAATTATTACGTGCACAAACAATACATATATAACTGCAAAATACAAATGGTATGTTTATAAAGAAACAAAAAAGCATACTAGTTTCACTGTATTGGTGATCTGAGGTTCGAATTCGAGCACAGAAAAGTAGATTCTCTTTGCGTGAGATTTATTTTCAATTTTCCTAAAACTCATAGGAACAATATCCGCGAAAAATCTGGCTTAATTTTTTGAAACTATAAGGAAATCAGAATTCAAAGTATCGATTAATATCATATGTCATTTTATAGATGACAAACAAACAAAAAAACTTATATAAACTCCAAAACTATTTTTGAAGCATTAACACTGAGCTTTGAATAGTACTTTAGTTTTAGGACAATTGAGCCGTGTCTTAAATTTCTACATAATAATAGAAAAACAGTGAGGGTGCAAAAAAATCATTTTTTAATACAAAATAAAAAGTGTGATTAAAGTACCGTAATGACTACAGGTGATTTCTCTTCACATTACTCTTAATCATTCCATTACGGATTTCAAATCAAAGGTGTGTACAAATAGTAAGCTTTTGTTCAATACCAGAAATTATCAGCCACGTTGGACCTATGGCCGCCAAAATTATATCAGAAATACTTTTTGTATACGATATTGCAAGTCTGTAAAACGCCTAACCTAGCGAAGTTTTAAAAATTTTTAGGTCTAACCGCAGCCAATACATAAATCTGAAATGCCTTTTTTTTACGCTCTTCTGATTCCAAATCTATAATGGATTATTTAAGAGGAATTTCTGAACATCAAAGAAATTAAATAATCAAGAACATATTCTGTATTGTTATTAATTATCTAAAGACCCTCAAGGAAGTTTTGTTAACGTTATATGACGCTTAGCGTCCCTATGCATTAGTAAGCGGGACGACATAATGTCACTGTCAAATTCAACATCGTCACTTCTAACAACCTAATCTATGTTACACTAGAATGACCAATTTTGGATTTTGTTTTTACGTGTGTACATCAATATCACCCTTCAAAATTAGCATAACTGAAATAAGGGTGATGGCCTCTTATATTTTATTTATACTTATATTTCACTCCAAATCATGAACAAATCTTGAAACAACAACAACAAAAACTGTGCAATACAAACAAAATTAAATGCTCCAATACCTTATATATGAGACAAAAGCAATAACATTGTATCTTAAACTAGTTGTACAGCGTTATTTAATATTTAGGCTTGGAAATAATCATTATTAGTATTAACGTGACGTGTGTCGTACATAAGACAGC